AAAAACTATTTTTTTTTACTGTTTCTTCTTTATTTCTAAAGGGAACAAGTTCATACTTCAAATGTATGTTCCTTATCATCAACCACATCTTATGTGACAAGGTTCATAACTTTAGCACCACTATCTTTAGATTTATCTCCCCTTGTACTTAGAATTTTCCATAAAATATATTGTTTTTTACTATTACTTCTTTATTTCTTAAGGTATCAACTTCAAATATATGTTCCTTATCATCAGCCACATTTTATGTGACAAGGTTCATAACTCTAGCAACAATATTTTCAGATTTATCATCCCTTGAACTTAGAATTTTCCTTAAAAATAATATTTTTACTGTTACTTATTTATTTCTTCAGGGGTCAACTTTATACTTCAAATATATGTTCCTTATCATTAACCACATCTTATGTGACAAGGTTCATAACTCTAGCACCAATATTGCAAGAATTATCTCCTCATAAACTTTTTTTTCTTGAAAAATGTTATTTTTTACTATAACTTCTTTTGTTTTAAAGGTATCTACCTCAAACTTCAAATACTTACATATACTTATTCCTTGTCATCAATTACATCTTATGTGACAAGCTTCATAACTCTTGAAGCAATATTTTTAGATTAATCTCTCTTTGAACTCAGGATTTTCTTTAGGAAATATTATAACTTCTTTACTTTTTAAAGTATCTACTTTAAACTTCAAATATATATTTCTTATTATTACTCACATGTTGTGTGACAAGGTTCATAACTCTAGCACTATTTCCAGAATTATTCCCCCTTGAACTTGGAATTTATGTTAACATTTTTTTTTTACTATGACTTAATACATAATAATACATAATAATACATAATTGATTTTTCTTTCATCGTTTTGTCTTCCTTAGTACGTCCAGTATTTTATTAGTCGAGCTTCGCTGTCTCCTGTGACAGCTCTTGTTTTGCCCCCTCCCTTCTTCAAAGATAGGATACATGTATATTGTTTTGCAACGTCAGTCTGTCTGTCTGTTAGTAGACCACATGGTTTACGCTGATTACCTGGAAAAAAAGCATTTATCATAAAGTCTTCATATTTTACATAATGACTGGTCATAACTAGAAAATTACCCAATAAAAAAAATAGGCAAAAGCTTTTCTGGGTTACAAAATGAGAAGGGAATTTAAATCAGTAAGATAACTATAAGCCATTTACAAAAGTGTGTGTCATATGCCCTTTCTAAGAACTGCTGTGGCTTGAATGGATTACAAGAAAACCTTATTTCCCATAACTTTGGGGATCATCAGTTGTGTCAGCCAAGGTTTTGTGGTTATCTTAGAAATACACATGTATCCTATATCCATTGTTCTTTACCATACAAATCAAAGTTTGACTGGTGAGAAGTCAAAGCAACGGTTAGACGACATTATGAAACCTTTTATTGCCAAAGCCAGCCAACTAGTGAACCTAGGGTCAAGCCAGCAATGTGAACACGCCAACTATGGAGGAAGTGAGGCATTAGATGTTCGAGTTCAAGCAACTTCAGCATTTATAAACGAAGGAAGAAACTACATAGTAGAGGTATGTATAGTTGAAAAGTTGTCCAAATGTTTGTTATGCTTTGAAATAAGCTTGTTTTACATTTTTTAGTAAATCACTTATCTTGGCAAATGTTCAAAAGAATTATATCCATTTTTGAAATATGCAAATTTTTTATAAACAGTCATCATTTTAATTTAGTTTTGTTTGATTGCCAAGCTAAGAATTTATCCAACATGTTAAAAATTCTTTATCAAAGAAGTTATAGACTACAGTTACTGAGAAACATTTTTGTGAACTGTCTTGTAATGTTTTGATTTATGGTCCAAGTGCTGCAATCTATAAGTTATGTGTATTTCAACTCTTTTACAGTTTCATTGTTCTTTGATTTTCAGTTACAATGTTTTGCAGTTTAGTTTCAATGTTTGATTTTCCACACCAGCTACAAGTAAGTGCACAAATACCAATCTTTAAGATGAATTAAAGTTTTTTGTTTGTTTTTTTTTATCTTACAATTTCAATATTCACATTTTGCAATTCAGCATATTTACATTTTGCAATTATACCATCAACAAGATTTGTCTTTCAATTAATTCTTTGACTATGTACGTGTACACTTTAATCTTAATATTTTATTCTTTTTTTTGTCTTTAAAAAAAATTTTCCCTTTAAAGAAACATTTCTGTAATTTTTTTAAAAAACTTATAAGTTATATCTGAAGAAGCAATGAAAATGCATACGTTTTTAAAATTCTTCACAGGTAAACAAACAAGCTGATTTGTCACCTGGGCACTACACACAAAAGTATGCACAGCATTGTGCAATCAAACGCCAGAACTGTCAGGAAACCTTTGCTAAGCCACCAACAAAGGGAAGACGCCTGTTTCTGAAAAAAAAAGAGTGTGCTGTCAACCAGTCAGCTAAAGAGTCACTCGAAGGGGCAACATATCAGTCAGGTTAGTTTCCAGTCATCTTGATATACCTGTGTGTTCAGTAAAACATATTTGTAATGACTGTATCAATCTATGTGTTTGATTCAACTTGGCTCTCATTATTTTGCTGTGTCTGTTAACACTTCTCGGTTTTTTTTTATTGTGACATGCTTTGTTTAGAAACAACTGCTATTTGTTGTTATTCAATTTCTTTTTATTTTTTGGTTTACATTTGAAGTTGGCCACACAGCTGACATAGACATAGACAAAATCCCCGATCCTATAACACTTGGAGTGTTCAAGCAAGTTATTTCAACATGTGGCGAACCCTCTTATATCACTGTGGTTCTTGAAACAACAGACATTAGTAAGTACTTGTGTCATTTTTTTATGTGCACATTGCATACCTTTTTTATTACTCCTCTGTATGTTTACAGATGTAAAATGATGATACAATACAACATTTATAAATCAAAAAGTGCTTTATGATGGTATTATAATTATATAGAGGATTTTTGGGGTTTTTAGCATGTAAGATTGAGATATTGTCACTGAGTGAACACCAGATACATTTATTCTATATAAAATAGTATAGCTGGTGTTCACGAGAGTTAAATAAATTTCAATCTTGCGTACAAAACAAAACAAAATCTATGTATTTCATGTTAGTCAATTACTGCTGATTTTGCCGCGTAACGTCACATCATGATGACACAGTATCAATGTTGAAACAGTTCTGTAAAATTTTAAATTATGTATGCAGATATTTACTTGTTTCTAAGAAACGAAATTTACATCGATCGGAATTTATTCCATTTAGATATGAATAGTCTTTGCATCGACATTCGAATATAGTCTGTCTACAGTGAAAAATATATTTTATAATTTCACTGTGAAAATTATCTGATATAATTTCATTTTCAACTGCAAAGCATGTAATAAATCACTATAATAATATTGTTTTGTATAACTTTTATTCCGTTTTTTACTCCAGTACCATTTTTATTTTCCAGTTCGAGAATGATGTTTACCCCAATATTACACAGATAGCAGCCAAACTTGTTGGTACCGAGAAGAGCTTCAACTGCTATGTGCTACCAAAACTACCTATGTGCACATCAGCAGAGCGAGTGACTAAAATTGTTGTAACAAATAGTACAGATATGTTTGTAGATGGTGTTCCTGTGGAAACAAAAACTATACAAACAGCTCTCAGAGATTTTCTCATCTGGCTGAAACAGTTTTGCTATGTTTTATCTAATTGCTCATAATGGGAAACGCTTTGACTTCCCAATCTTTGTAAATGCCTGTCAAGCTAGTGGAATGTTTAATGAGTTTTGTTCATGTGTGTAAGGATTGGCAGACAGTCTTCACGTGTTTAAATCTATCTCTACTAAACATGAGTCTTACAAGCAGGAGGACCTAGCCCGCTCATTGCTCTCCAAGGTGTATAACGCTCATATCGCACTGTGTGATGTTGATTGTTTGTCCGAGCTGGTCATTTATGCTGCGAAACAGGATGATAAGTGTATTACAGTCAAGAGTTTCTCTCCTTATGTTGTGAAATACAATATGGATTCAAACAAAGAGAAACATAACAAACTTGCCATCCTCGTCTATTTTGATTGAAAGTGGCGTCATGAAATCTTCAACTGCAGATAATGTTGCAAGTTCGGGGTTAAACTTTAAACATTTACAAACAATTTTTCAACGTAAGGGAGAGGATTGACTGTATACTGTGTTAACTATGAAAAATAGTGAAGGGTTGCAAAGAGTGACCAATTCTAAGAGAGTTTCGGAATCCGTTATTCCAAAGTTAGTGGCTTACTTCGATGGCAAATAATAAGTCATGTATGATAATTCTGGATAATATTTATCTTAACTCTTCTTATGTAATAAGTGAAAACTAAGTTTTTATTTTCATTTATTTGTAAAATAGTATTCATTTGATTTATTTGTATAGCAAGAATCAAATGCAAATTGTATGTTTAACAGTTGTTCAAGACATTTTAAGCATTTTCATGAAAATATGGCTATAAAAATTCAAGGGGGTCATCTTGTTTGTGTTCTTGTCTGGACGGTAAAAGTTTCTGAATTTTACAAATCTTATTGCTCACACATTCAGAAAAAATGTTGGTGCCAAATTACAATAGATACAAGCACATTCATGCACAAACTTTAAACTTTGAAAAAATAAGAGGAAAATAACAAAATTCTGCAATGCGACTTTTTTATCCAAATCTGTTTCACATTTTTGGTAATATTTTCTTAAGCCTTTTTATTATTCATGAATTGTTGTTTTTGGGTACAGTACATAAACAGATGAATAGAAAACATGCTGAAACATATTGCTTTGTCATTCTTTTAGGAAAAAACCAAACATTTTGAAAAATATGACAGTGACAATTTTGCTGCTAAATTATTGAAATGGGGTATTTACAATAACACTTGTAGCTATAAAACAACATGGTAAATTATTATAATAAGTATTAATATTTTATATTTAGATGTACATAATGATACAAAACAACAATATAATGTACAATGTTAGGTTCATGTTATAGCCCGTTACCCAGGTCTTGAGTTTTCTTCTCAAATATCAAGTCAGGAGCAACACCTACATCACTTATTTCTTTCACATATTTGTATCCTCGCTTTTCCATGAAATGTTTGAGGTTCAATTTACCGCCACGCCATTTATTGTGTTCTATTGAAATGATCTTTATGTTTACTTTCTCCCACGGTATTTTACTAAGTACCCCTTCTTCAGCACCTTCTATATCTAAACTGAAATAATCCACTTCATAGCGGTTAATTGCCTGTAATATTGAAATCAGAGGATAACACTTCACTTTAAAAGTCTGGTTTTGAAAATTTTCTCCTTCGTGATCTAATATACGCCCAAAACATGCACCCTTCCCACTAGAGAATGTCTCCTGAAAACAAGATCGTTAAGTTTATTTCAACATGAACTCAAATGATCAGAATATTACGTACATAGGTGTTTAAACAATTGCTTAAATAACATAGTTCTAATGACCTTTTATCACTAATAACGTGTTTAAACATGATTGATAAATTGCTTGAGTGAAACACAACCGTATTTCAATCCTAATGAGCACAATAGTAGACACAAGTAATATGTGAAATATTAAATTGTTTTGATTTAAGTGGACTTAACATATTTACAATCGTTGTATTGAGTATGCATATTCCGTTTATAGTTGTATATATATTGCAATACTTTAATAAGATTAAATTGCACATTATTTTACCGTCTATTGATAAATATATGATTCAACTTCATTTATTTCCGTACATGAAATAACTTTACGTGAACATTAGTCTGTCTTTACAAATTATCAGTATAATATTTATACTTACAACCGATGGATAGTCTTTTGTTGAAAGGCATGCATTTACTGCGAATGATTTTCTATTTTTTCTCAGCAGTTTCAAAAATAGTGATGGATTTGGTTCAATAAGCAGTCCCGTCCAATTCCGAAAACGTTCAAGAAATAATGTGTTGGACAAGTGTTCTCCATCATAAGCCCCTGATTCAATAAAAAATCCGTTAATCTGAAATAAAATATTTGTTAGTTAGATTTTAACATCCCTTGCTATTTTAATTGTAGTATTTACTACGTGGATATCATATAGTATCACAATTATTTATGATAATTCAAATACTATATTAATCATCTAAAAATTAAAATCATGCAACGCAAAGGGTAAAAAAAAACATTGTTGTACACTTTACACTGAATTTAGTAAAACGTTAATCAGTGAATGAAATAAAAATAAATGTGTTATTCTAGTTTATCATGTAAAAGAATATCTACCATTTTTTTAAACAAATTATCTACGAACTGAGCTTGTCCATGCGATGGATTTTCTAAAAGCGGCTTTGAAAGTTTGTAAGGAAAATTTGAAGGATAATGAATAAGATATAGATACAGATCCTCGATCATGTTGTTGTTGTCATCCATATTCTCATTTCTTTTATATTTTGTTAATATTCCGCTATAATTCCAATTGTCAGATATGTCCTTTACATTATGCATTAGTAAAATTGCAGTAACACAAATTGCGATCAAGTATATTAAACGCGAACACTTTCCCCGTTTTACCAAAATCAACATTTTCATTCGAGAAATGTGTTGATCCGCTTTAGAGTGAGCGGTTAAAAATGATACACGACAAACATGGAAGTAGCGCATCAATGAATATAGGTGTTTAATAACTGTACCTACGAGATTAACGATTTTCTCTGGTTACTCGTTGTCTTGTTTGTTTGATCGTTGTTATCGTATTTGTGACGAAAAGATCATTGTGAAACATAAAATATCTGCGTTTTTTATGTCACCGCAGCATCTGCGATGCGGTGGCATATAGCGATTCACCTGTGTGTGTGTTTGTTTGTTGTGTGTGTGTGTGTGTGCTCTTGTAAGGACCAGCAACTGAGGACATTTGTCAGGAATAACAGCAACGAGTGAGGACATGACCGACAATTGAGCCCATCCTCAATTGACAAAAATATTTTATACTCTAAAAATGCTTATTTTTTGCTAAAACATGTAAAAAAAAAGGTAATCAAGTTGTGTCCTTGGTTGGAGGTCTCATATGATGGGTGTGTCGGGGCTATGTGTCGACCTAAAAAAGTAGCCATTTTTGAACTTCCCACTCGGCGAATTATTGCGTCCTCAATTGCTGGTCAGATTTGACAAAACTGGAATACAGCATTTCTATTGGTTGAAATTAATGTCAAAAAATGGGAAATATTATTTAAGCTGTTAATTAGTAGATGTAGACACTTTAAGAAAGATTTAAAATCCACTATGAATTTATAAACAGGTAAAATTTTTAAGGTTATCTGCTTACTTACCGGAAGTCATTTAAAGGAAATTTGGAATCGGACATTTTTACTGCGTGGTACAGTACAGGAATGCGGAGGCAGAAAAGGGTAAAAGAATCTAAATTTTGATGCTATATTACTTATAATAATTCATTGCAGCTTAATAGGCCTTACAGTTGTACTATTTGTTTTTCTATACTGTTTAGTCCTAAAGTTTAGACAGCCTCAATTGATCATAGTACATGTACAGAAATCAACTCGTACCCAAACCATTTCGTTTTATCATGCCTGTTGAAAGGACTGATTAAAAATTCTTTAAATAAGAAAAAAATATTAAATCTAATAAAATTGAAATAAAAAACAACAAGAATTGTGAATGTTACCTCAGGGAATAGGTAAATTTTTATTTGTCACTTATTTTCGCGATGCCGCTTTTTATTTAATACAAATTGGAAGCTATGTTTTGTTAAAATGTGTGTAAAACACTAAAAATGAGTTGATGAATGAAAACTACTGAAGGTATTGTTTACACAACTTGAACGAAGATATCTGCCAGTATGTGTTAGTTAGTTCTACATAAAATAGATCTAGATAAGCAATATTTTCTATAAGGGGTTTATTTTATTAGTTCTACATAAAAATGATATAAGGAATATTTCTAAGGGTTTTATGTAGAGTGAATAAGGAAGAAAAAACCCAGCTTAATGGTCTGTTGATGTAGGGTTTAAGAAATTATATTTCAAATCTTTCTTGTACAGTACACAGGTTTCCAATTTTGGTACATGAATTACCATTTTCCTTAAGCCTTTTCAATATTCAAACTCTGACACCCCCTCCCCTTTCCCACTCTACTCTGCTTATTCATCATATATAAACTGCATAAATGCAGCAAAGACCGGGAAGGTACGGGAATTAGTCTGTCCGGAAAAGGGGAGGTAAATAAAAAAATGTAAACATAAGTATATTTTTACAGAATCGGTGTGTATAGGTTGTATATGATATATAGCTACTGTGCAGGAGTAACTGTGAATTTAAGTGCAGCTGTACATAGGTTGAGTGATATTCGATGGAGGATTATTGTTACACTCTGTTGACTACACAGAGGTTTGCCTACATATGCGGTGAAGATTAACAACAACAACAACAATGGCGGTCTGAGCACAGAATATTTTTTCTGCCTCTTGAAAGTTGATGAGTTTTCGATTTACAAGTGTTTGGAAGGCCATTAAGTTTGACTAAATCAGATTTAACATTTACTTTCTGGTTACTATGCTGGTTATGTTTGGAAGATAAGAAAGTCACAAATCAACCTCAAGATTACTAGATTGGCCTGCCTGTACGAAATTTTACTCCTGTAATTTTGCCTAAAATACACCTGTTTTTCTGTTAAAAATTACAGCTGTAAATTTCTTCAGTTTTGATAAACACATAGCAAATTACACCTGTTTTTTCAAAGATACACCTGTTTTACACCTGTACTATGAACGAAATATGTAAATTAACTGTTTTTTTCTACGGGTCGAAAATACAGTTGTACTGTTTTACAGCTGTTTAAAATACAGGTGTATAATTTTACAGGTCTAAAAATACAGGTGTATAATTTTTTCAGCTCAAAAATACAGGTGTAAAATTTTACAGGTCAAAAATAAAATACAGGTGCCCTTATTGTTTAAGGGATGAAAACCACACATAAATGCAGACAATCATATTTAGCATGTTTGGTGCAAATATCTTTTTCATTGGGATCAAAAATTTTGTGCATTTTTAAAAATAAGAAATAAGAAATGCTTGGGGAGAAAATATCTTTTTACAAATAGCAGACAATAGTTCACAATGGCACTCTGTGTTAAGGTGAGCAGAAATATCACTGAACTAGAATCACTATCACTAAAGATGGGGATAAATATAACAAATTTTCACTTTGTCTTAAATGGATTACTATATTTTATTACATTCTGTTCAGTCTTACACTACTGATACTGCATCAATAAAATCCAAGTCATGAATAACACTGCAGGCATCCTTTCATTTGAAGAAAAATTCACAAATGCATTACCTCCCTTGAACTTAGAATTTATATGAAAAAAATGTTGTCTTTTTTAAATAACTTCTTTATTTCCTAATGTATCTACTTCAAACTTCAAACTTCATATATATGTTTCTTATTATCACTCAACATTTTTGAGAAGGTTAAATACTCTAGCAAGACTATTTCCAGAATTATGTCCCCCTTGAACTTAGATTTTTTTCGAGAAATTGGTATTTTTCACTCCAACTTCTTCATTCATTATAGGATTTACTTTAAAATCCCACATCGTAATAATATGACAAGGTTGTATAAACATAATTTACTTACTTTTAAGGCAGGGAAACTTAACATATTACTGTGATATAGACAAACTTAGAACTCAAAAGATTTAAGTTTATTCATGTCATTCATTCACTGGTAAAATTGACTGGCCAATAGCCCATCAGAAAGTTGCTGGGGTTCTAACCGGTAGGGGACTTATGGATTGCTTGCAATACTATGATAATTGCTTGTTTTTTTGGCTACATCATACTGTGGTCTGACATTGCACAAGATTTGTGAAAATTGTTCTTACACAAAAAATAATTATTCTAATATATTTAAAGAGTTCTCACTTGCTTGTGATTTATTACACACTGCTCTCAGTTGCAGGTGATTTAGTATGTACTGTCCTCAATTGGTTTTCAAGTGGAACATTTTTTTTTAATAGCAAAAATATTTTTAACACCTGCATCATACATGTATTAGCATACTGTTAATTCACAGCGATTAGGCAGAGAATACTGTTTTCTTTATAGACTTTGTGTTTTGTTCATCATTTGGAAACTGGTTTGCTATTATTGATAACTGGTCATTTTTTGAGCGAGCTATTGATACATTTTGAAATGAGATAGGATATATGACATTATAGCCTAATAATTATAGTAATTGTTGCCTGAATATTTCTTATAGCATGTTTTTGTTTGCTTATATTGTAGATATTGGAGAATATGATGATATAAATGATGACATAAATAGTAGCAACATAGCTGATACCAATGAAGTGTCTACCAACAAACTTGATGAGGTTTAAACCCATGAAGCTATCAATGAATATGATGGTATTTGTCTTATTAGCATATATTCTGTTTTCTTACAGGGCCCAATATTTAAACTAGTCGAAAACTACTAGACTTTTAGTTTCACAATTAATATAAATGCAAGTGTTTATTTAACAGCTGAATATTTATAATAGTAGTTATTGTATTATGTATTATGATCGTACTTTCAGTACTTAAGCCATAGAAAAAAAAATTCGAATTCTCATCCCCGTCCGCCCTACTGTTAGATTCCTCTCTGATAGATACATTTTCCCTTCAGCGAACATGATGCATAAACAAAACCAATCATTTTTTTTTATTTTCAATGTATTTAAAGTCCTTATATCAATAATAAAAGATAAAAAAGTGCCCACATGCTAGGTTCTTATCCAAAATTCCATTGAGAATCTAAATGTTTATTTTTTTGGCCTTACTTAGTTTTGCATCATATTGTTTGGTTTTATTAACCTGTCAATTACATACTGATTGCACGGTTGATGCACACAGTATATTAATCTTCGGTAGATGTTCGGTAAGTTCCGTGAGATGTAGGCTAGTGTACGATAGAATTTAATTTAATTTGTATCTCTAAACTAAGTATACTCTGCTTTATAGTACAATAGGGTAAATCACAAGTTTATTATCTAAGTGCCACACGTGTTTCAAGTTTGAGGCCGCGTTGGTCCGTGTTTTTTTATTATTAATACTTTCAACATTATTTAATCTATATATGATTATTTTATGTTGTTCGTTTTTTTAGTATTATGTTTTACTTAATTTTGTTATGTATATACTCTTTTTAAATAACATGTTTTTTTAAGAATTCATGTTTTAAATTAAAACGGATTAAACTCAATAAATGTCTTTTCAATGCCGTAAAACACACATACTACAAATCTGTTCCATTAAAATATACTGCAAAAATAAAGAAAGAGTACTAAAGTTTGTTGGTTCTAGATAATTTTAGAAATATCTGACTTAGTTTGAAAATAAATACTTGTAATGATAAAACAGGGAAAATTCTCTCTTACACCTAAAAGGATGTGTTATGTTACACCATCCGATACCCAACTGTCTGTCTGACTATATTTTTACAAACAATATTTACACTTCACGTTATTAAAATTTAAAAAAGGAGACCCCTTAAGATAGATGACATCAAACATAAATTATAAAAATTGCAAATTCGGTTTTATTGTGTTTGTTTATAAGAGGTACTGAAATAGGCAACATCTTTCATGTGCAAAGCATATCCCGTGATCCTCCCATCCCATTGTTTTCTCGTTTAAGGCAAACGCATTGTTTTACATGGTCCAATACGCCGTCATGAATTGTTTGAAAGTATCACATTTAAGTTTCCATGATCATCCCCTTATGAACTCACGGGGTTTTACGTGTCTCACTGGGACTTCAGTGGGGTTTAAACCCCCTTTTTTCCTAAAGTGGAGGAATAAAACCGTGAGAGTAAAAATATTTTGTTTTCTCAATATTTTTAGATGTGTTGAATATATAATACTTATAATAAACTTATAAGTGTTCGCGGAATATATTTAAAGAATTTGCAATTCTCCCATTGGCTGAACTAACCCATTTAGTACATATGAGAAATCTCCCAAAATTAAAATGGTGCGGAAATCTCCCAAACTTAAAATGGGAGAAATATCCCATTAGAGCGTAATTGGAGAAATACCCCATTAGAGCGTAATGGGAGAATAACATAATGGGAGAATTCATCCATATTTTTGTTTGTTTTACATATCGGTTCGGAAGTTTAACAGTAAAAGTTTTTCTACATATGATATGATAAACAAGATCAACAAGATGATATGTACCGTGTAAAACATTGCAATACATTGTTACACCGTTATTTGTTTAAAAGGGAACAGGCCGGGATGGGACGGAATGGGCATCTACAACACGGAGCGAAATGTTGTGACAGCTAAATAACCAACGGTCTACAACATATTCACACTAGTATAAGAATACGTTAATTACACTCCACTCTATCAAAGAACATACCATGAGTATCTTGTTTACAGAAAATCAAGACATTAATTGTACTAATTGCCATACTAAGAATGTGACTGGGTCATCAATTATTAAAATGTTGTAATTGGATGCATACAAACAATGAAAATATAACTTCATACATTTACAGAATAATTGTGTAGAAGTCAAACGAATATTAAATTTACATACTCCGCCTTTGTAGCACGTTGTTCGATCCCTTTATCAATATAATAATTGGTATTATTTAATTTTACCCATGCAATATGGTGCTATATCAGTCAAATATAATTCATATTTTTAAAAGATAATATGAAATATAAATATGAAACTGGACGGAGTCAAAACTCATATTTATTTTAATGGTCTAACTAAGAAAATAAATCCGAACACCAATATCTTTAATTCTGTACAGACTTTTACAGTTTACGGGACGTAACAATGTAGCGCTAAATATCGCATGCAAAACAAGATTACTGCGCGCTGTACAATTGCAGTTGCGTAGCAAGCAAGGGGGTTCGTAACCATTTTTCTTTGATAATGAAATTAAATAATAAAAAAAATGTCATTTTTTCGTTTTTCGTGAAATATGGAATATATTTTCTCAAAACATGATAAAATGCCACATATATTTTCACTCGCCGTCCCGGCTCGTGAAAATATGTGGCATTTTATCATGTTTCGTGACAATATATTCCATATTTCACTCAAACAAAAAAATATCCTCTTAATATTTGCAACATATTATTGTTTGAAACTTTGGGTTTTGAAAAACAACAAGCTGATGTGAAACACTTAATTTATTCAAGCTTTATAAATATACAATTCTTATTTGCGTTTTTATTTCTTTTTAATAGGTGTCTTGATGCACTAAGTGGACTGTTTATTCTACTTTTCACTAATATGTGTTATAATGAAAACAAATAACTATATTTTCCTTCGTACATGATATCTTTTAAACACAACCGCTCTCCATTATATCATTTTGTTTGAGTATAGACTATTGCCATAATTATTTTAAATACACACACCGGAATAAACACAGACAGAATCGCAAATATGAGTATTTGATATTCTGCCACGACAAGTACAAAGTAACAGGAAATGTAAATTTCAGTTCTCAACTCATATAATTTTATTGCGTTAAACATACAATTTATGTTTATAGCACATACAACATATCTATAGGCAGAAGACATGGATTTTTCAAGGAGCACAAAAAATACAATGTAAAACATATGAATTCATAATTATGACGTGTTTGAGGTTCTGTAAAACAGGACATGTAAATAACATATATGTCTAATAAATATCATTTCAGGATTTGGCAATCAGTTACATTTGTAATAAAAATATAATTACATTGACATTTGAATTGGACCGAAACATTGAGAGTGTGGTCAGTTTGAGGTGACAGGAAATAACAGTCACAATACTCTAAGATAACTAGCATACCTCTTGACTATGTGTCTGAAATAAAACGTTTTCACACATCATCCAGTTTTAGTTGATTTCATCTAAAATAAAACCATTATACATATACTGTATATATAAAGACTTTAGTGTTCTTTTTGGGGGGATACCATTATCAACCGTTTATGAGCCTCTTCCAATTATTGACGGTTATAAGCTACAGTTATAAATTTGAAGCTGAAACATTAATTCAGCGTGTGCCTAATATATTTTCAAGTTTCTTCTACGATTGAACCACAAAAGATATATATCATATCATATGAATTTAAATATTGTGTCACGTTATTACACGCTGCAGTTTACAAGTTTCACACATTGAAATGTATATGTTTTATATGCTTTCACGCGTATGTTTTAAAATCATACTTATCGTCCGGTCAGATTTATGTTCAACTTGCTTTCAAGATGATCTGTAAGTTGTGAATACTTGCGGACAAAGCAACATAAGCAACACAATTATACACCGTTGAAAGAACATAGCATGCACACAAAAGAGCTTTGATGATAGTTTTTATTACTGGTATCATTGTATTTACAAAAAGGCTTTATGCACCGTATCAACCATATATTGCATGTTATACACCAAACAATATAACAAAACAACGATCCTACGCGAGTAGTTGTCTAAAAGTTAAAATATCCTACACTCGCGGTTGGTACTCTTAAAAACGATAAGATCCATTAAATGTGAAGAAAGAAACATATTTTATCTTTTGTGAACCTTGATTTGAACATTCCTCAAGCTTTAAGATTGATGACTGATTTATTGTATGTGTATATAGCTATATTTTATAAAACATCTTTTATAATATGTATTAAACAATTAATAGGAACAATATATATATATATATATATATATATATATATATATATATATATATATATATATATATATATATATATATATATATATATATATATATATATATATAAATATAAATTTGGAGAAAATAAACGTTCATACAGTGCTAAAGTATAAATACCCAAGTAATTTCGGCGTATTATGCCTTCATCAGGGGTGTATTACATGTATAACATGCACACAATCGAGCACAAAATCTCAATACGTGTGTACTGTATAGTATCAAAAATTGAACTGAAACACAGTCGCTAGAAAGGTGATAAAATTACATCGATTCACCACTGAGGTATCAAACGAACAACATGTTTTTCTCGACACAGTATCTCATATTAAAGATAATCATATAATTACTGATTTGTATTCAAAACCCACCGATAAACATCAATACCTTCTTCCAAGCAGCTGCCACCCGCGACACTGTTGTAAGAACATACCATACAGTTTGGCTTTGAGAATCAAACGAATCTGTTCAAATCCCAGCACGTTCTATATCAGAGCAAAAGAACTATCTGAACATCTTAGGAAGCGAGGATACAAGGAAGAAGACATTGCAAACGCGATCTTAAATGCAGGCAGCAAGCACAGGAAGGACTTACTAGAGTACAAACATCAATCAAGTGGTTCTACACAAAATAAAATTCCATTTGTGCTCACATATCACCCAGACTTACCTAACACTAGAGCCATCATTGACAAACATTGGCCAATTATTGAGTCTTCACAGAAACTTAACAAGATGTTCCCAACTAAACCAACCATTGCATATAGGAGACCTAAAAGCCTCAGGGACATACTTGTTCGAGCCCAACTGAGACCAATAATGTCAGATAAAGAAGGTCAGTCCGGACCATGTGGCACACCAAGATGCCAAACCTGTGCTGTCATGCTCCTTACAAAAACATTCTCTTCAAAAATAGGGGCCAAAACATCTCTCAAAGACATAATGAATTGTAAAACGGCTAACGTTATTTATCTTATTTCTTGCAAAGTATGTAACAAACAATATGTCGGTGAAACCAAACTTCCATTAAATAAACGAATGAACTTACACCGCTCTGACTGGAAAACGCGAAAATTTAACAGATCCCCAGTTGCTGAACATTTTCACCTTGAGGGACACAGTTTTAAAGACGTGTCCCTCTGTTGTATTGAACATAACACAAAGTGGTCAGATACAACTCGGAAATCACGCGAGACATACTGGATTCGCCGACTGAATACGCAAGAACCATCAGGAATCAATAAAGGAGACTAATTTACACACTTATTCTCGCCCATTCTTGACAAATTTTAAAACCTAACTTTGGTCATCAGGCGGTGTCGGGGAGGGCTATTTTTCCCTTGCCTGAGAGCTTCGTTTTTACTTTCACCTTATCGTAAATTTCCACTTCATATAACATCATACTGTTTGTAACTTGCATTTTCTTGCATCATACTTATAGTAATAAAAACACAATACGCCCTTATATGTGAAGTTTTATTATTTATTTTTTTAGTTTATATATTTTTTTTTTCTTTTAAACACAGTTTTATAGATATATTTAACCGAGTTTATACCATATTGACCGCAGGCTATATTCTCTTTTGTAAAGTACTACACAATGACCATTCAATAACGGTCTATTCAAAATCGATGTAATTTTATCACCTTTCTAGCGACTGTGTTTCAGTTCAATTTTTGATACTATACAGTACACACGTATTGAGATTTTGTGCTCGATTGTGTGCACGTTATACATGTAATACACCCCTGATGAAGGCATAATACGCCGAAAGTACTTGGGTATTTATACTTTAGCACTGTATGAACGTTTATTTTCTCCAAATTTATTTTTTTTTCCCACGTTCTTGTATCCTTCTTTGGATCCAGTGTTTTTGAAAGGTATTTTGTAGATGCAAATATTTTTCACAAACCTATATATATATATATATATATATATATATATATATATATATATATATATATATATATATATATATATATATATATATATATATATATATATATATATATATAGTGTGATCGATTTTGAACTGCTGTTACCTCCAAACTTTAACTGAAATAGGGAACGTGTGATAAAGTGTCACTGAAACCTTATCATTGCATGTAATTGGCAGAGACACACAGATAAATTTTATCTATCAACACTATATCGCCTTTTAATCAATGACTGTTCGCATGACCAAGTTTGAGAAATACTTGTGTCTTGCTCAATGATTTTATCTTACGCCCGTCCTCTATATTTAATTCAACATTTTCGTAGTGTCTTTTTCAGTTACGAACGGCAAAAATGGAGTGTTAATTGTACGACAAGAAGCTCTAAGAACAAAAAAAAAAAGATGTAAAAAGAGAAAATTATAACAACAAAATGCATTATATGTGCAGTGCGTTATATAAGTATATCTTATTAAATATGTTTGTTAAAAACCTGTAAAGTTTATATCGATATCATTCTCTCAGTCACACATATAATAGAAAATAAAAGACAATGCAGTAAAATATAGATATACATTTCAAATTTTAATTGAGAAAAAGTGGGCGACAATTTCGTTTATTTCGGTCTTATTGACAATCTAATCTAAGATTAAAATTGGCATTTGTACATATGCTCTTCTCATTCATTTAATAAATAAAAAATAAACTATAATTATTTTACCATAATCTGTTCAGAATCTGTATACTGTATAATATCACAGTATTTTATTCAAATCTTAAGTAAAGCTGTCCATATAAATAAAACATCATGACTTTTTAAACACCCCCCTATTTGGTATTTTACATATTTTCCTTAAATTTTGTGGTAAGTAAAACGTTCATGACTTACTTATATATGCCAGAATTGCAACAAATGTAGTATACATGTCTATGAAACAGGAATGGCCATATATAAAATACCATGCTTTAAAAGTAAAGTGGAGAGTGAAAGTATAATAAAGGTTTGTTACATACAAGTAATAATGTTTCTTACAGACTACGCACTTTTACTGCACACAGTATACTTAGTCGAGTTATTTTCAACGATTTACAATCGCCAATCAGGCTAAAATGTTATGTTTATTTTTCCTTCTTACGTGATGATGCTAATTGAATTATCGTTTGAATTCGCAAACAATTTGACGTTTGCAATTACTTTGCATGCGTATTAAATAAAACATAACACAATTGTAATGTTTTGATAACACGCTTAACGGGCAAATTGTTCCTTTCAGAAATTTAAGAAATTTAATGAAATTGACAACAATTATAAATTCATTTGTCACTAAGACCTTAACGACTATTCGATATAAAATAGAGAAAAACAAAAGGCCAACACGGCAAAATGAAAAGTGTTGCTGGCTCGGTTTGGTAAACGGTACTGGAAAATGCAAGTTACCGTCCACGACCCTTAGTACCATGTTAATCAAAATTCAACATTTAAACAAGAAACTTTTTAGATGAGAATTTTTCGCATATGTGTCCCAACTTAAATTCCTTATTGGGTTTTAAAAACAAATATATATCTAAATCACTGGCTACGACCTATTCTCTACAGATTTTATGTATCGCAAAGGTAATTCGTTCAAAACGAATTCTGAAAAAAAAAAACACAGACATTCTCGAAACTAATGACAATGTGTATTCCGTATTGTAATGGTTGAGCATGTGTCGGATTCATTTAAGAAAGTGATACCAAACATCATCTAAATATTACAAAGTTTGTTTCAGCCAAACAGAAAGCTATGATGAAAATGGCCCTATAATATAATATAATATAATAGATCACTGAAGTACAAACAGTTTAAAATGATATCTGATGCGATGCAATTATTATAGTAATATTATAATTGGGTACACGTATTATTGTTATTTACAATGCCCAGTACTGTTCCCTTCTCAGCTGTTATTGATTAAAATACATTTATATAAATCAATATCAGTTTGTTCTCCCCTTTTAACTATCATATTTCACAGTTTAACTTGTTTCTCAAATAAGAAGGAAACTACATTGGAAGATTCTATGCTTGGTTCTCGTGCTTTTTGTCTTATTAATCAATAGAAAATTAGAAATATTGTTTTCTTGTTCTCACTCTTATTGAAATATGTGCAGTATGATAAACTTCAGTACTGGATAACAAAATAAACCCTAGTATATTACTTTGTTATATAATACAAACGTGTCATTCAGAAATGATTTATTCCGATATGTTTTTCTTTTTTATGTGTGTGTGTGTGTGTGTGTGTCTGTGTGTGTGTGTGCGTGTGTTGGTGTGTGTGTGTGTGTTTTGTTTTTTGTTTGTTTTGTTTTGTTTTTGTTTTTTTAATGCTGCAGTTGACGTTCATAAAAAACGGCATTTGTCAGTCTTATATAATTTTGTTTATTGTTTAGTAATTATGCCTTATTTTGACCCTATATATATGTTTATAGAACATTTGATAAGTTTGATTTACATATAATGAGAAGAAAAAAATTGTTATAATGTTTTATATTTGGTTCTTAAAATATGCATGTTCTTACCAAATATAAGTGTATTTGTTACAACAAACGATATGATGCTAAAATACGGCATCCGTTGAAAGTCTAGAATCATTTTAATTTCGAATTAATACATAATTACCCTCTAAAAGAATACAAAAATTAATAAAAACACATATCGTTTTACATTTTGTTTATAAAATGCTTGTTGATTAAAATGAAAATTCCTTTTTCAATACTTCACTTTAGTTTGTGTTTTTAATGTTGGTAAGCTAAACTCGTTTACCCATCGACATTATTAATACGGCCATTCGGTAGTATATCACAAGATAATTAAAACGTTTCATTAAGATTATTTATGTTGACATTGTATAATACAAGACAACATCTATATTGGAAGCCTATGGCATTAGCACAATAAGACTGTTACAGACCTCAACCCGTTATAAACAGGTACAAACTGACTTATTCCTTGTGTTACATACACTATTTGTGAAATAAATAAATTACTTTATCTTGCAATACATATACCATTACGAGCAGTTATTTATGTAAAACTGGTGAGATAATATGTATCTATTATATGTATGTTAATAAGTTGAATTTACTATAAAATACAAAATATATAAACTGTGTGCTAACTTATGTCGCCCTTATATCACTTAAATACACTTTTCAAATGTGTATCAAATTGAAGAAAAAAACTGCATTAGTGTGATTTCGTTAGTAAATTGAATTTGTCATCAATATAAAATATACGTACACAACATGTTTAAATGATGATTTTGTCATTTTATTTCTTTTTAATTTTCTAGATGTTAAAACAATGGTCTCGACACATTGAAGTTCACCTTAGCCGTTGGTCAATGAAAAGAGAGTGTATAATATTGTTGATCTAAATAGATAGGATGTAAGATAAAATCATCGAAAATGAAACAAGTATTTCACAACGTAGTCATGCGAAATATTAGATACACAAACAATAATTGAAAGGCGATTTTGCCGGTGTTTGATTCAATAAACGAATATGTCACCGCTATTCACAGGAATTTATTGATACCGTGTCATTAATTCTCAATTTTAAATAGATTCCATCGATTAAACATCTGATAAAGTATTGTTATGCTGTCTAGATGTTGACATGATAGTAAGCTAGGTCAAATAATCAATAATTATGAGACGATAGAGTTAAATTTTAGAATGTCACCGTCGTCCAGCAAACAATATGTTCGT